CACGAATAAAGGTACATATGTGTATGTGTAGACACACACGTATGTATCAGGATATACCTACATCTCTCGAATCCCAATATCCATTTTGCTCTCCCTCACTCGTTGCTTTTCGCTCCTTTTCGTCCTTAAATTAAAACGTCGATCGAAAGAGTTCTTCAGCTCTGCATCTCGCAATCTATTGCATTTCTCCCTCGCATTTTGCGCTTAAACGAATAAATATAATTTGCTTTGTTTAAAAGCGTGATTAAAATTCTTGAGACACTTTTTATTTCTATGATAACAAAGTATATTGTGCTAAATTGTTATATATTTTATGGGAAATAAAAAATATTAATATGTACATAATACATTTTATTTCGTATTATGGTAGATGATATTAATATTTTTATTATATCTTTGTAATATATTGACGATGCACAGAGAGAATTTTTTTTTTTTTAGAATCTACTGAAAATCGTGATAATCTGGACAATATATGGTATTGGAAGAATTTTATAAATTTCTCTAATTAAATATTTATCAAAATAAAATATAAAATATGTTTGATTAATTTTACTATGCATGTACATATTAATATTTTTTATTCTGATAAAATATTAATCAGAGAAACTCTTATAAAACTCTTCCAATACCACATAATCGTGGGATTATCATGATTTTCAGGGTAAATTCTAAGAGAAAATTCTCTCTGTGTATATTGATCACTTTCTTCTAATCGAAGATGCTTATAAGAAATTAATATAATAATTATATGGTTTATTTTTTTAAGATTCTGGCCGTGTATTTGAATATAATAATTTTATTAGGATTTATAGCAAGACCAAAAAATATAAGTATATCTTTACGAGAAAGAAAATGTAGAGAAAAAATTATCTGTAAATAATTTTTTTTATAAGATGCATGGCTTATTTTTTAAAGATAAATAATAAATATTTTAATAAATATTATTTTATAATAAATATTTATGTATTAATAATTTTTTAAGATAATATTAATGTCCTTATTTGTTTCCGATCCTATTTGAATATAATAATTTTATCAAAGAAGATCAACATAAGTATATTTTTACGAGAGAGAAAATACATTTTTACATTAGCATTTTATATACAAAAAAAAAAAAATTAAGTAAATAAATTTCACAGAGAGTTGACCGAGCATAAAGAATAATTAACCTCGCGGTTAGTTTCCTGCAGATATAGGAGGAGCGAAGTAGTTGATTCACTCTTTAAAATGATAATGTGACATTTTATTTTATAGGGAGGAGGATTTTAATCAAATATGCGACTTTCAAAGGGGAGGCCGGACAGGAGAGAATGCATTCTATCGATAGTCCGAGTCGGATAATAGCGAGAGGACGGAAAGGAGAACGAAGGGGAAAGGATTCTTAAAAATGTTCCGGTTTTTTGGAATTTCCCTAAATTCCCCGCCGCTAATGGCATTGAGGTCGCGAGTTGCCCGAGCTATCCGAAGATATTTCATAATGATTCACGGGCGCATCCTGCAGGGGTAATATCCCCGGTGGGAGGGAAGAGGGTGGGACGACAACCACCCCCGATGTAAATCACGTCCCGTTCTTGTCGGCCGGAAGGGCGAGCAAAGTGGATGGGAAAGCCCGGGTCTCTCCCTTCCTCTCTCTGGTCCCCGAAAAATCATTCCGGCTTTTCCATTAAAAAGTTTGATTCGCGGATTCGTGGTCGACGTATACCCAAGTCTCTCTCTTTTTCTCTCAGGGTGGGAAGTTGGTCGTCCGTCTTGAGAAAAGGGAGGAGAGACACTTGGCTCTTCTTCTTCTTCTTCTTCCGAAGTCCGTTTTGTCTTCTCAGTTGTTTCCGTAATGTAGCGAGGTGTATTTTCGTTGGAAATTCTTAAACTTTCGCGCACTGTGACCATATTGGACGGTGTCAGAAGCGAGAAATCGCGCGTCATGTTTCCTCGCGATGAGCAAAGTTGAAGTAGACACGAAATTTCTCCTTCCCCACGCCGTCAATTCCCTTTTTAGACTGACAGATAAGGGATATCGGTTGCTCTCGAATGTAACTCTCGCGCAAAATGGCTCGTTCTCGTGTTAATTAATCGTATGTATGTAAAACATAATTAATTTTGTATTACACGTGCAGGCAAAGTAGTACTTTGTGTGCGTGTTTTCTGTGCGGAAAGCGGCCGATTTCCCACGCCGCCATCCGGCTAAAGCCGTGGGCAATAACTTTGAACACGGCTATTCCCGCACCGTGTCGCCGCAAGATGGCGGCGTGCGATCGGCCACCTCGCGCACAGAAAACGCGCACAAAGCCACTTTGCCTGTACTTGTAATACAAAATAGTACACAATATACTATAGTATAATGAATGTACGTATCAAGCGTGGAAATTATTTATTTTTTTTTTTTTTTTACTGTTTGAATAAATTTTGGAAAAGAATGTTTATTACGTGCAAATAAAATCTCTTTTATATTTAGTTTTTTTCTTTTTTACTTAAAACAGAATGAATTTCCTGCACATATTTATCTACCTTTATTTTTAAACATTTTCAAATATTAAAAAAATTATTGGAAAGTTTTATCTTTTATCTAGTTTACATATTTGCCAAAAATCTTTTCACGGAAACAAGTAAAAAAATTTTATTTCTCTTTTTTATATATCTATGTATATATATTATTTGTATAACGTTATTCATGTTATATAACTTACTTTTATTTCACTATTTCTGCAAAATACATTTTCTCTAAGAGCAAACAGAAACGTTTTTGTATTATTTGTACATGAAAAACACATCCGCGCAATCGAGAAATATCTTGAATACAAAAATAATATAAAAATATTTCATGTAATTATAAGTTTTCCGTATTTTCTATTGTAGAAAGTTATATCGTGAAAATTTATTTTCTGATTTTTCGCGAGGATGCGGTATATGTTTATAAAATATGTATGTATTCTACATTTTTCAACACTATTTTTATATACATACATATTTCGATTGAAAAACAGAAAGTTTTTACAAATTTCCTGCATTTGTTTCTAACGAAAATAAAAAAATAAAATCGAACAATTTCGGAAATATTTTTTTTCCCTCGAGCAAGAAAAACAGAGAAAAAAATGTTCTTCATCAAACGTTCCAGATTTCATACACTGAAAAAAATTTAGTTAATTCTTATAAGTATTTATTTAAATACTATCAAATAAATCATTTATTTGAAACTAATAATATTTATTTCATATAAGAAAATCCTTTTCAAAACAAATAAATATTGATTTGTTTGAAATAAATGATTCATTCGACAGTATTGAACTAAATATGTATTAATTTAGTCTTTTTTTTTTTCAGTGTAGGAATATTTTCTCGCGGAGTTGCACGTCTTCTCTCTTGATGCTTACCATATCTTTTCATTTTTCCACCATCCGCCACTATCTCCGGGTCAATTTGAAGGAAGAGGTGCGCGACCGTTCAAAGTCTCGTCTAACTTTAAACGACTTCGTACCTCCGGCACCTTCTCGTCATCAGGAGACGAGAAAGCGACGCCTTCGTCCTCTCATCGTCGTCCTTATCGTCGGCCTCGGCTTCTCGCAACAGCGCCAGTTTGCAAAGTCGCGATGTTCGCCGATAAAAGTTACGTCATTTAGTGAAATTCTTAACCCCGACCTCTTCTCTCTGCTTCGTCTCCTCCGAACTCCGGGAGGACGAATAGGATGCGCGTAGCGAAGAGAAAAGAAATGACAACGAGAAATTTAGGAAGGAATGACGTTTATTTAATACTTAGGAAATTCTTCGGATGTCGAAAGTAAATTTCTTCAAGCAGGATATCGCGTCACGTGTAGGATTTATCTGACAAGCTTTTTTTAGCGGAGTATATAAAACATGGTTTATAGAGAGGAACGAGTGAAATAGTAATATGGAATTAAAAATGAAAATTCTCTCATTGATATTATCATATTTATTATTTATACATGTAAAAATTTTGCGATAAATGTGAGAGTGTAAGAAAAAATGGGATAAAATTTAAAATATATATTTTCTGCGAGATTAAAAATTAATTATGTAAATATTCTGAAAAGTGCTGCTGGAGAATCGTTCTATAAATTTGAAATATTTTTAAAATACTTTTTGCACTAATCTTATGTAAAATTGGATTTCGATCAAATTGGCTGACTTTTTGATATATTGTACTTTATGACCTACTGCACAAAAGATGTAATAGCTGCAAAGATAAATAATGGACAATTACTGAGTTCACCCAATATCCCTGTTTATTATTTACTTTATTAGCTACAACATATGAGAAAGCCAGCTAATTTCACCGAAATTTAATTTCATCTGGGATTTCATATAAATTAAATATCCCGCATTAATCTTGTGTAAAATTGAATCTTACACAGAGAGAATTTTCTCGTAGAATTTATCCTGAAAATCATATAGAAATTGAGGGATTAATATTTACCAATAAAAATATTAATATCTACCAATAAGATATAAAATATGTTTGATAAATACTATGTACATATTAATATTTTTGTGATAAATATTAATTAGAGAAACTCTTATAAAATTCTTCCAACACTGTCTCTCGATTACCATGATTTTCAGGGTAAATTTTAAGAACAAATTCTCCGTGTAGCAAAATCTGCTGGTTTTTTCATTTGTTATAGCTTTTGATTTACTTAAAAAATGTAATATGCTCAAAACTAAATAATATAAAAAATTGCTAATTTTACAACCAGTGAAACATGAAAAACTCGAGTTGTTTGACTGGTTGTAACTCAATAATTATTTATTATTTAGCTTTGCAATTTTTTGGTTCAGCAGGTCATAAGCTACAACATATGAAAAAAACCAACTGATTCAAACGAAATCCATTTTTACACAGAATGAGGGATACCTTGCGAAAGGTTTTCGAATTTTTCCAAAATAATTGGCAACTCGAAAAAGGAAAAATGCACAACATTCTACGCCGAATATTAAGATACGCGTGCACCGGAATGACGTGGAATGCCTTCTGATTGTTGCAGAATTCCTGGCATGCGTAGTACGGGCGAGTCGGGCATAGGGCTCGTTCCGGGACTAGCGAAGGGATCAAAGGAGGGTCGTCTGGCCGCTCTCGAGCGGTTTGAGGACCGGTGAGCACGACAGGGCGAGCAACCCCCTTGCCGAAGACCAGCAACCCTCCCGTCCGTCACTGTCGACGAACAACAGAACAGGTTCGTACGTACACATCTCTGGTGATCGATATATCTATCTATATTACATCGAAACTCGATCCCTACTGGGATTAGAATTTCCGCGTGGGGGATTGACATTTTTTCGCTTTTGATCTCTATATAATTGGAAATGCTATTGCGCGAAAATAAAAATTTTTGCATTTATTTGAAATCGCTTTTCATCTTTTATCGGTTTAAAGAATTCTCCGTATATATATATATATATATATATATATATATATATATATGAGACGATTTATATTAAATTATTTTTTAATTATATTTTAAATTAACGAAAGTCAATTTTTGAGATACTTTTTTCAGTTAAATTGTCTTTCTCTGTTGAAAGTGCAAAATTAATTATCCAACTTATTTCATTTTAAGACTAAATTGGTGATTTTTTATAAATAATTTTCTGAAATTATGTATGAAAAAATATATGTGCAAATTCAAGAATATAAGTGTCAAAGAAGAAGATATATGCGGAACAGCTGATCTTTGACATTTCGCCTAATATTTATTAAATTATTGATTGTCCAACTTTCTTCATTTTTAAGACTGAATTGGCAATTTTTTTCAAATAATTTAAAATAATATAAAAACATATATATGTGCAAATTTAAAAGTATATAAGCGTCAAAAAGGAACAGCTGATTTTTGACAGTTCAATATTTCTACGCGCGCGCGCGCGTTAATTTTTAAAATAATATCTATAAAATTAATGTTAATTTAAAGTTTCAATATACTCATTTCAAATATGCAAAATTTGCATATATGTATGCCGAAATATTGGTATATAATTATATTTGTCGTTTTCGGGATATCTCGCACGCGCGAGAAAATAATATCTCGCGATATCCGTGACAGTTTTCGCCAGTTATGGGAAAGGGATTAATCTAATGTTGGATTGGATAAGGGGTGCGAATTATGACGTCGGTCTGCACGTGCGGGTCGACGTCTCACGTGGAAGTGGATCGATCATCCCTTTCGAGAGCGGATGTTTGCGCTAGGAATCGCGGAAGGGGTGGAAACGGGCCGGGAGTTATCGAAGACCCGGCGAGAACGGTGAGGGGGCTTATCTCGACACGTGAGACGGTATTCTATTATACGTTTCTAACGGAGGGTGCACGATCGCTCGGTTAGACGCATTGTAAACAGAACCATTTGTCAGAAGCATCGTCGCATCCCCTGCAGGCCGGGAGGAATGTTACTAGGAGCGGTGTCTCTTGAGCGGCCGAGGGTGGATAATTGAATATCGCTTTCGTAGATTTTCGTATATCAGTGTCGTTCGCTGAAGAAGTGTTCCGATAAATGATTTGTAATCTAAAAGAACTTATTGGTTAATCGAGCACTTTTTTTAGCTATATATCTTATTTTCTTTTTGACGTACAAAATTCCACGGATTTTATTTTGTATACTCTTAAATTTGTACACTTTCTTTAACTTTGTATGCAATTTTAATTTAACATTAATTTAAGATATTAAGATATAAGAATTAACGCGCATGCGCAGAAATACTGACCTGTCAAAAATCAGCTGTTTCTTTTTGACACTTACATTTATACTTTTAAATTTGCACATGTTTTTATATTGTTTTAAATTATTTGAAATAATTGCCAATTCTTAAAAATGAAGAAATAAGTTGGATAATTAATAATTTAATAAATATTATTTTGGACAAAATTAGGCGAAATGTCAAAGATCAGCTGTTTCGCATATATCTTCTTTTTGACACTTATATTCTTGAATTTGCACGTATATTTTTTCATATATAATTTCAGAAAATTATTTTAAAAATAATTGTCAATTTAGTCTTAAAATGAATAAATAAGTTGGATAATTAATAAATTAATTATAGATATTATTTCGGAAAGATTAAGCGAAATGTCAAAGATCACCTGTTCCGCATATATCTTCTTTTTTGACACTTATATTCTTGAATTTGCACGTATATTTTTTCATATATAATTTCAGAAAATTATTTTAAAAATAATTGTCAATTTAGTCTTAAAATGAATAAATAAGTTGGATAATTAATAAATTAATTATAGATCTTATTTCGGAAAGATTAAGCGAAATGTCAAAGATCAGCTGTTCCGCATATATCTTCTTTTTTGACACTTATATTCCTGAATTTGCACGTATATTTTTTCATATATAATTTCAGAAAATTATTTTAAAAATAATTGTCAATTTAGTCTTAAAATGAATAAATAAGTTGGATAATTAATAAATTAATTATAGATCTTATTTCGGAAAGATTAAGCGAAATGTCAAAGATCAGCTGTTTCTCATATATTTTCTTTTTGACATTTTACTTTTAAATTGACATATATATTTTTTCATATATAAATTCAGAAAATTATTTGAAAAAAAATTGCCAATTTAGGTTTGAAAATGAATAAATAAATAAATTTGATGGATATTATTTTCGGAAATTGCGCGAAATATCCAAGATCAGCTGTTCTTTCTTGTTGACCACGTTATCATGTCGAGTTTTTATCTCTTCAACGTCATCTACTCTTAAATGCGACGGCGGGCGCGTTCGGGGAAACTTTTCGATCCTCTTTGGTGATTTAAAGCGGTCAAATGTTTTTTCGTCCCTCTTCCACCCTTCTTATTCGGGGAGGAGGATGCGGCAAAGTTAGGGAAGTAGATCGACCGGTGTACATCGGCGACTTTTCGAACTTGTCGAAGAATGTTGACGTCGACAAAGGCGCCCGCTCTTCAACAAAGGATCACGAGAGTTGAAACCCTACCGGGATCCCGTGGGAGATCGGCTCTTGCCTTACGATTCACTTTGCAAAGTGCATTCAGAAAGCGATCATATTGTTTTCTAGCATCGTTATGCTTACATATGTGCGATAATGCGTTACACACATTGCATACGTGGGCGTCCGCAAGATTTTTTTTTTCAAGAGAGGGCATCATTAAATTAAAAAAAAATTTTTTTAATTTAATTTTTTTATCTTCATTTTTTTAGTATTAAATATGCAAAGAAATTCCGGTTTTTATTCAAAAGGAGAGCGAGTGCTTAATTTTTTTATTGAATCCAAGGGAGAGCAAATGCGGACGTTCATGATGTATATATATGCATATTTTCACGATGTAAATTCATAGAAGAATTATAACAAAATTCTCGAGAAACAATAAAATATTAAAAATTGATAAAGTTGCCAAAAGTGCAATAATAAAAATTTAATAAATTAGAGTAGTAAAAATAATTAGAAAAAGATTCGAATTAAGGACCACGAGAAATTAGGATTTTAAATAAAATGGAATCAAAACGTAATCAAAATTACGAGTCTGTAAGGGCAAACTGAAAATGACGGAAGTTCTTCAGAATGGGGCACGTTTCGAGATTTCTCGGCGACCAGTCACGCTCATCGTTCAACCCTATCTACCCGAGAATGATTTATCTACCCCGCGAGAGGGTCAGGATGATCAATCTATATCAATCGCAACTGCGTGATAAAACCAAAAGCAATTTCTCCCGCGGAGATAACAGCTTGTCTTCCCAGCCATAGTCTCATGGATGAGTTAGCAACATAAACATTGTCTTAAAAACCACACTTTAATAATGTATAGATTTATTTAACAAATTTTTATAATATTTTTATTAACATCTTTCGCGCGAAACAAAGTTTTATTTATCTGTATATATTTAGGTATAGGAAATCTACATTTATATTTGAAATACAGTACAATTTTTTTTAGTACCTAAACCTTCCAACTAAATGTAATTTTGTTGGTTGAACATATGAAAACATTTTCAATCAAATATATTTAAATTTAACAAAAGGTATATTTGATTTAAATACTAATTATCCAACTTATTTCTTTATTTTTAAGAATTGGCAATTATTTCAAATAATTTAAAATAATATAAAAACATGTGCAAATTTAAAAGTATAAATGTAAGTGTCAAAAAGGAACAGCTGATTTTTGACAGGTCAGTATTTCTGCGCATGCGCGTTAATTCTTATATCTTAATATCTTAAATTAATGTTCAATCAACGAAATAGTAATTTAGTTGAAAGGGTTTACAATCTTTTTTTACAAAAAGAATTGTCATATCTTTTTTTTTTTTTTTTTTTTTTTTTTAAGACACTTGCTTTCAAAGCAAGAGTACATAAATCTTTTTTTTTCTCAGGCGAGAGAATAAAGGAATACTTTTATTTTGCTTTATCGTAAACTCTCGACGCGATCTTATAAATGATGGAGACAAGTCTCGAAGAGATCGCGACACCCTTTCGGAATTAAAGCCGCATAATCGTCGGCTCTTCTCGTTAACTAGCGAAAATAATTGGCCGACGAAGAGCCGGCAAACGTCGCAGTCTATCTGCGATAAGGATTCGAGACATCTCGAGAGGAGTCTCGAGAGGGTAGGTCGAGGAGGACGTCAGTTTTTCCGTAAAGAGAGATAGAGAGAGAGGTGGAAGATACGGACAGGAATGGGGTGGAATCGGAAGAGACGGGGTGGAAATTCATTTCCTTAATGGAGGCTGGAATACTGTATACTTAACCGACGGTGACTAAACACGTCCCCCTGTTTCTCCCCATCGTTTTCATTCTATCTCCAAATCACCCGATAGAGTATAACGTGGTGCTACACACAAGGGACTCGGTTGAACAATTATACAAACTGTCCTATTGCTTTTTTGTTATTTTAAATATGTATCCCAAGAGTATATAATAAGCATGTACCAGTGTGCAACCTGACACATTTTATATATTTTAAAGAGTGCTATACGTCAAGGATAGAGAAGCTGTTTTTTAATTATACACAGAGAGACTTTTCTCTTAGAATTTACCCTGAAAATCATGGTGATCGTGCGACAATATGGTACTGGATGAATCTTATAAGAGTTTCTCTGATTGATATTTATCACATAAAATCTCACTAATTTCAGTATGGAGTTTGTATCGATTAAACAATTGCAGAGAGACTAAAACCTTTCTAAAAAATTTTATTAATTTTTGAAATCTATTTATTTTTT